CATCATCATCATCATCATCATCATCATCATCATCATCATCATCATCATCATCATCATCATCATCATCATCACCAACAACATGATATAATTATTATCATCAACATCAATCATCATCATGAACATCATCATCTTCACCATCACCATCATCATCATAATCATATCACCACCATCATTATATCATCATCACTCTCACCATCATTATCATATACACCATAATCGTCGTCGTCGTCGTCGCCGTTGCCACCACCACCACCACCACCACCATCATCATGAAGAGAACTCTATTCTGTAGCTATACCAGAAGGGTAGGCCTTTAAACCCAAACAGCCTTGCTTATTTATTATTCAATGCATACCAATACAGTCAATCAACATACCCGATTTCCACAGCAGGCCCCAGCGCAACCCAGTATAGATCCCACGAAAGACAGTATCAACAAAAGAACATAGAGTATAGTAGCTGCAGCGCTGGCATTCCGAACACCTTCTAAATCCGAGCAACTTGCGGCGTCTAAAAATGATAAATGATAATACAACACACTTCTCGAATTTGCATGAGCGTTTGAGTCATGACATGTAATATTTTAAATCCAACTATGAGCACTGGACTAGATTTCAAGTCCGGGCAATTTGATCAAGTGCGCAATTTGATCACTGGATCAAATTGCGAGGACTTGATATCTAGTCCAGTCTGAATTGAAAGATTTGAAATGACTATACTGTAAAGTCCGTTCTGCGCATACATTCTGCGCAGGCCTACATTCCAATGGTCGGGACCCGACCATTGGAATGTTATTGATATTTCGCACCTTCCGAACTTTCTTGAATTGAATCTCTAGTCTGTATTCATTTACAAGCATGGCGAACCAGAAGAGTGTTAAAAATTCAGTATAATATATATCTAATCATATTTTACAACTGTAGCAAGAGTTCAAAATGTAAACTAAGCGTTTGTTTACATTACGGACTTTACAGCATCTTTAAGGTAAGGTGAATTAATTTTGATCCAGTCCAAGGACTGAATTAATTTTGATCCAGGATCAATATACTTCACTAAGTATCCAGTATTATCATGTGAACAAAATAAAGCAACTGATATGGTTGGCTAATTTATAGGTCGAGGATGGCAAAGATTTTGCAACTCAAAGTGCACCTAACTTCAATTAATTTTATCATCGCATCCTTTAGAACTTTTGAAATGAAATGATATGGTAAGAGTTTAATTTTTACATTGATAATATACATGGTAAATCTTTAAAAACTATTAATGGAAATTTAAAATTTTTCCCTGTGTAATTTATTTCGAAGATTTGAGTTTGCTCACTTTGTTTCTGAGATATTTTTAAGTTTGCTTGATATGCAAATGTCCGGAGTTTACTTCACAATGAATGATGACTTATAAAAGAATGTAAGCTATAACAGTTAAATATCATAAAAAAACGATAAATTGTGTTTTACATGTTATATGTAAACAACGAGTTTGAGTGTTTCATCAGGGGATCCAAACACGAGAAAACTGTATGAAACACGAGCGCGAAGCGCGAGACAGTGTTTTATTGTTTTCGAGTGTTTGGTCCCCTGATGAAACACGAGAAACGAGTTGTTTACACAACATCTCAAACGAAAACATTTCATTGGCTTATATATATTATTATACTATATTGTTGTGTTTTGACTTGAATTTGTAATTAGGATCTCAGTTATTAGATGAAAACCGTTTTTCATCTAACAACAGTGATGGTATATGATTTTTAGCGTGTTTCCTTGCGGTATCCAACCTCAATCCAGTGACGAATTAGGGTGAGTTCATTCGCTAATTTGCTCATGAATTATCAATGAGTTTGAGATATATACGTCATCCACCAACAACTCCGGACTTCTTCATTTTAATCAGAATTAAACTCGAAAATATGAATAAGGTGAACAAGCTTTTGCTTTATAAGTCATTATGCGTATGCGACGTAAATTGCAGACTTGCATATCAAACAAACTGAAATATCTCAGAGACAAAGTGAGCAAACGAAAATCTTCAAAATAAGTACCAAAGTTCTTAAGAATGAGATGATAAAACGCGTGTATACACGTAAAAACGCACAAGTTGTAACAGACCTGCAGCAGACTTGTAGCAATGCTGTTCCAACAACTTGTCAACAGGCTGAGTGTGTTCGCACTGCTTGTTCCCAGCTTGTTGAAAGGTTGTCAACGGCTTGTTGACAACTTGCTACAAGGTTGTTGAGCTCAACAGACTTGTTACAAGTTATTCCAACAACTTGTTATCGTTCTTTGTAGATTTGCAGGGCGATAAAACATACGATCGAAAGCTTTGCAGTAATAAATTTACGTGGTGTTTCCACAAACAAAATATTATAACTCGTTATCGTCCTGCAGCAATTCAACAATTTGTCAACAAGTTGCGAGTGATAGAATAACAACATTGTTACAACTTGTTGACAAGCTTGCCACAAGCCTGTTGCGAACACATCTTGTTGACAAGTTGTGAGATTTTTACGCGTGCAAGTCATTATCAGTACCGAACTTACATGTAACTGGTTTTGAGTTGTCATATATATCGTTTATACATGTGCATGCATCCTCAGTGAGAATCAGGCCGTTAATGTTAACAGTAACACAAGTATGGTTAAGTACAGCCCAGACAGCAGCTGCATACGTCAACCCAGCAATGGCAAGCAAGATTCCAACCACATTTGCACCAATGCTAACAGCAAACTAATAAAAAAATGTATTATAAGATACATTAGCTTGCGTTTGTATGTGTGTTTGTCTACCTGTATAAGCACGATATATAACTTTAAAAATATCAAACATATTAAGGTGATTCATCCATTTTGCATTGCTCACTTCTACTGCGCATATCTAATAACAAATTCTAGCTAATATAAACACCGCGGAAAAACGTCTGCGCATGCGTCAACCTTACCTGTAATAGTATTGCGAACTTGATGAGAAGCTGTTCCGAACGTTTCCGAAGGCTCAAAATGGCGGTAAAAAGGAGTGACTTCATTGTGCGTCTTCACAGCCAGATTTCAAGCGCAAAAATAACCATGTCATTCTAAAAACTAGGAATAAATACAGCCAGAAGGTTCAAGAAATTGTATTGTACTAGAACATGAATTAAAGGTGATTGTTGACAAATTTATCGTCTGAAACATTTTGTTACTAAGCAACGACAATTTCCGAATTTTCGTTTGAGATACATTTCTTTAAAAAAAACTGTGTCGCCAAATATAAAAAAATTTCGTGTTCACAATAATTAAACTTTAGGATTTATTCTACAATTTGAGTGGGTTAAGAAGCTTAACTTTTCGAGAGTTTTCTTAACTTTTGAGTTTGAATTTTTGTTTTGAATAATTTTGCAAATATTTTCGAAGTCGTGTCCGTTAAAATCAACAATTTTTTACATGAATTATATTTCATTCCATACTTTAAATGCCAGGACGCTTTCAATTAATGTCTAGTCTACCCATTTGCTATATTTTCTCGTTTGTTTTACTATTAAATTTTGACCAATTAATAAGCATGTTTTTGTTTTAGAAATTGATATTCAAATTCCCCGCCATATTTTCATAATTTGGTGCATGCGCAGACGTTTTTCCGCGGTGTTGCTAATATATGTAATCGGCATCGAACTGCAATGTAAAGTGATAAAGGAAGAGTAAGGGCAAAGAGAAAAACACTCTGCATTGATTAGGCGTGCTTCAGTGAATATACCTTCAAAAATGACAGAACTTTGGCTAGGACTCCCTCTGCAACTAACACTAAACCACATCAGGTTGGGGGCCATTCACAAAGGATGTCCGAGCCGAGGGGGGGGGGGGGGTTTGAAAAATCAGGACAAACTCGGACATAGGGGGGAAGGGGGGGTTTTTAGCAATCCGGATGTCCGAAATTTAAAAAAATTCAAAAACAAATTTCTTTTCCCCTCTATTTTGAGCAGTCCTTCCCATTGTGAAATTGGCATTTTGACTATGCGGTTAACACTAGATTTTGTTTTAATTAGTAATTTATATGTTTTTGTGTTCACATTTACAGTTATAAAAAAGTTCTAAAAGTAAAAGTTTTTTACTCTTGATATATACAAGATTGCGTGAGTTTTTGCGAGGCATGGCGGATGTCCGGGGGGAGGGGGTCACTAATTCGGACAATGCCGGACAAGGGGGGAGGGGGGTCTGAAAATCCATCATTTGGCC